CCACAGTGTAATTCGTTGACTGGTGGCTGAGCCCCAGAGCATCATTGGTCTACTTGTGGCTGAGCCGCACATTGTCATTGGTTGACTGGTGGCTGAGCTCCACAGTGTCATTGGTTGACTGGTGGCAGAACTGCACAGCGTGATTGATTGAATCATGACTGAAACACACATTGTCACTGGTTGACTGGTGGCTAAGCCACACAGCGTCATTGTTAAATCTTGTTAAATGCACATATTATCTTATGGGAAGATTGTTGCTGAAATAAAACTAAAGGGCCGCTGAGAAACGATCTCATTTTGGTATATTTTTTCACCATTATTGGCAGTAAAGTTCTACATTTCTAAACCATCTACTGGCACTTCACACTCCTTTTCCAGCCTATGCAGCTTTCAGTTTGAGTAAGTCTATGTTATTATTCTCCAGTCAATAGATGTTAAGTCATATCTCAGGAGATCTAGCTGTAGCCCCGAGCAGCATGTAAATGTATTCTCCTCTGTGCATTGGGGACTGCTGTGTCTTGGGTCACTGTCAAAACAGATTGCAGAGTACAGCATTGAAACACAGATGGACTCCCAGCTCACATCCTGCTGAACTTGCTCTTACATCGACAATAAGCTTCAAATATTACTGCACACAACCCAACTTCCACAATTACCCCCAGCGCTACCTGAGATCAGGTCTTATTAAATCGCCATTGTCGATTATTAATGCACACAGATGGATGTGAAGTGCTCACTCTCCTTTGCCCCTCTGAAAATGAAAGCATCATCAATATATTACTTTGGATAATGCCTGTAGATGCCTTCATTTCCAGAATACATTATCCATGTGTATTTTAAAATGCCATGTAGGCTTTGCTTTGTCTTATTCATTACACAAGTGTAATGATTACAAAATGGTACTCATGACTTGCAGGGATAGTTGAATTGGGTTGTGTTAGGTTGATCCTAGTAGCTGCTAATAGCTACTAGAATTGGTTGGGTTAGGTTGATCCTAGTAGCTACTCATAGCTGCTAGATTTGGTTGGGTTAGGTTGATCCTAGTAGCTACTCGTAGTCAGGGCCAGATTTACTCTCTCTGCTGCCACAACGCCAGGTTCCTCAATGCGCCCCCTACCCATCAAACCCCTCCCCGCTCATGGAGAATGGCAGACCTGCAGGCTGCATACAAGTGATCTCGTCGACATTGCCGGGATCACTTGTACAAAACAAGCGGCGGCTTCCCCACTGTACATTCAGCTCTGCTTTCCCAAAACAGGGCTAAATGTAGAAAAAAACGCCGCCCGGCACCCTGAACTGCATGTCCCAGGCATCAGGAGATAGGAATTCCACACCCCTGCTGCCCCTCTACTTCCTGCTGCCCCAAGGCCGGGCCTTGGTTGGCCTTGTGGGAAATCCAGCCCTGCTCGTAGCTACTAGAATTGGCTGGGTTAGGTTGATCCCAGTAGCTACTAATAGACTAATAGCTACTAGGATTGGTTGGATTAGGTTGATCCCATTATCTACTAATAGCTATTAGAATTGGCTGGGTTAGGTTGATCCCATTAGCTACTCATAGCTACTAGATTTGGTTGGGTTAAGTTACTAATCCTAGTAGTTACTAGGATTAGTTGGGTTAGGTTGATCCTTGTAGCTACTCACACCTAGTAGAATTGGTTGGCTTAGGTATATCCTAGTAGCTACTCATAGCTGCTAGGATTGCTTGGGTTAGATTGATCCTAGTACCTACTAATAGCTACTAGAATTTGTTGGGTTAGGTTGATCCTAGTAGCTACTAGGATTGGTTGAGTTAGGTTATTCCTAGTATCTACTAGGATTAGTTGGGTCAGGTTGATCCTTGTAGCTACTCATAGCTACTTGGATTGGTTGGCTTAGGTTGATCCTTGAAGCTACTCGTAGCTGCTAGAATTGGTTGGGTTAGGTTCATCCTAGTAGCTACTCATAGCTACTATGATTGGTTGGGTTTGGTTGATCCTATTAGCACACCAGGATTAATATATTTTTCAAAGAAAATTTATTTTCTGGTAAATCCTATGAGATTTGAAAATTACAGTCACATGGCTAACTTAGAGAGCCCTCTTCCTGTGCTAAAGCTTTGTGAATTGAGTCTATTGCAATCACATTACATCCTCAGTGTTAGGTTAGGAGGCTTTCTCATTCACACCTAATAAAAAACAAAAGGCAAGGAATAACACACACTTTATTGGTATTGTGTCTTTCAGTAAATCAAATATCCAAAGATCAGTTTTATATTGTTTTTTCGGGTCATCGATATGAAATTTCCTTTCTTTCATTTTGTCTGTCGTGTTTGACCGGATTTAGAACTTCCAGCGCTGGGGGTGGATTGAGCCTTTGGTTTCTTGCTCTGAATAAGCAATAAGGAACTCTCTTCTGGGATTCAGCGTGAAGTTTCTCCAACACTTTTTGTTGAGGTTTAGGAAGTTGCTGATGAAAAGAATATTCCACTTTAAAGGTCGTACTGATAAAGTGATATGAGGGAGAAGAGAGTTTCCGGAGGCTGATTAACGGTCTGAGATTGATGTAGCCAGAAAAGTTGGCACCATGGTAAGTAGGGGTAGATTAGGCGAATTAAGCACAATCATTTCAAGCAGAATACAATTTGGAAGACCGATGGTGACGGAAAAAGTTTAAAGAAGGCAAAAATATATTTTTTTTAAATGAAAATAATTTTTTAAAGTTGGCATACAAAAAGACATATGTCAATGCGGAATAGTCCACCTTGTTTAGTTTGGATTACACCAGATGTAATCACCCTACTCTGTAAATTACGCTTATATTCACGAGAATACAGGCACGGTTTAATGTCATATTAAAGCTGAACTCCAGCCTTCCCTTCAGTCTTGCACGGTTGTGTCAGTTCCTCTCCTGGACTGAAATTGCTTGCTCTGATTTCACTGCACACTGTGAGCTCCTCACAACGTGCATCAAAAGCTGCAGCAGGTCAGATAGATCCCGCCTCATTTCCTGGCTGGAGGATGCCAATCAACAACTAGCACTTTCCTCTCTAGCCTAATGTCCCTGGCCCGCCCCTTTCATTTATTGGATTCTAGTTCTTTTTACTAATGTAGGCTTAAGATCTCATATGGGTATTAACTAGGAAAGACTTCACGCAAATGCAGCCGGCCTAAAAAATCGTCCTCTCTTCCAGACTGGTATCCATGTATCAAGACATTTTGATATTTACATAGCTCCTCCCAACACCCAGCCCACTACTTGCATCCGGGCTTAGGGTTCTTGAGTGGAGTACTGAGGCAGGGTGCGATGATGTTTTCAGGAAGCTATGTACAGTACCTTGCCAGACCCTTCCACCAGCAAGGATCTACCTGCATTGTAGAAGCACAGAGACCCAGTGCACTGGATCTAGATAACATATGCAATGAAAACGGAAAGGTTTTCTTTGAAACCTTGTTGATTGGTTGGTGTTGAAGGACAAACCAGGGAAGGCAAACAATAAGCAGATTAAGCTTTATCTTTAATATGACAGCAAGATTGTGTTTAAAAACTTACCAAAGATCTAGCTTTGTGGCCACTCAAACTCTTCTTATAATGCCATAAAAGTCTCCCATCTCACTTGTTGGCAGCCTAATATTACTTTCTTTCACCAGGTAAAACTTGATTGGCTCTATTTCGCAACTAAACACCCACTACCTAATACTGCCTGATGACTCAGCCACAGAATTTGCATTCCATGTGAACTACGGCAGCTAAAGATTCTTCAGCATCCAACACTCTTCCGGGAACGCTTGGTCCCCTGCAGTATATTAAGGTTCCATCTGCCAGCCTCTACTTTACTACAGAGTGTAAAAGTGACATAGAGGCTTGCCGATAGAACCATAATATACAGAGGGAGACAAGTTGCCTGATGCCGCCAGAAATGCATCGGATATGCTGAATATTTTTCAGTAGGGATGCACCAATACTGATACTAGTATCGGTATTGGTGCTGATACCGAGTATTTAGGCGGGTACTCGTCCAAATGCTCCCATACATTCCTCAATACCTGAACTTCCGGTCAGAGGAAGATTTCCTCTGACCGGCAGTGCCGTAGGGGAACATGGAGCCAGCTTCCTGTACGATCAGGAAGCTGGACAGCGAGTAATGACCCGCCCCCCGGCTTCCTGATTGGCCAGGAAGCCGGCTCGATGCTGATTGGCTGGAAAGTCGGCTTCCCAGCCAATCAGCATCGAGTCAGATTCCCGGACAATCAGGAATCTGGGAGGCGGATCATTACTCACTGCCTGGCTTTCTGATTGGCCGGGAAGCCGACTCAACTGTGTATCATATATTAATAAGTGACTGTGGGCTGTAAATATTATTATTATTAATATATGATACACAGTTGTTTTACAGGTAACACAGTCATTTATTTACTTATTCCTTCACTTCACATACCAAGCGCAGCATATTATAGACTTCACTGTGGTTTTGATTGCACATTGCTGCAGCTGGTAATTATTGACAGATGGTGTTTTCTCCTAGCGCAACCTCTTGTTATCGGGAAGCCCACTCGATGCTGATTGGCTGGGAAGTCAGTTTCCCGGCCAAGCACAATCAGAAGCCGGCCAGACAACATGGAGTCAGCTTCTCTGGCAATAAGATTGCCCGGGAAACCGGCTCCATGGCAGCAGAAGCACCAGTATCGGTACTCGGTATCGACGAGTACCGAGAGCAAAATATCAGTACTCGTACGCGGTACCAAAAAAATTGTATTGGTGCATCACTATTTTTCAGCAGGGTAGTTTGTGATCGAAGAGTCTCCATCCACCAGGTCTTCTTTTACACGTTTATGTTCTTTCAACATCTGATGATAATCTCCAAAATGTCTAAAAATGTTGACTGGATGGTTGGAAATGTTTAGATGACAATTCCTTGACTTCTGTTGTGAAGCCTAATGCATCTTCGCTCATGATTTGATGCTTCTTCATCATCTGCTTACATATCAAATATGTTACCATGAAGTTTGTGGTTTCCTTTCCAGAGATACACACGGTCGGAAGACTCAAAGAAGAAGACTGGGGCCAGTTTATGAACATTTGTGATACAATTAACGCTACGGCTGATGGGTGAGTGCACTGTAGTGTGAGCCGGAGAAGAGGAGAGGGTGTTTGCTTTCCACAGCTACAAATCAGTCTCTAGCTATCATTTTTATACATGCCTGGTTGTTGCGTCAATGTGGAGAGGTCAGCAATGTAGACTTTTTACGAGGAAGAAGCAATAGGGATTTGACCAGATTTTCAATCCCATCTGTTCAGTTGTCCTTCAAAAGTGGTCATTGACTATTACGGTCACTATAGACCATTTTTAAACTTTAAAAAGACTCCGAAAGCATCCTGGCACTTATTAAACAGATAGCTATGTAGAGCAGCCAAATCCAGTCATGTTTCGGGAGTAAAGATCTCTGATAAAGACATTGGATGGCAGTTCTCCAATCTGGCTGTGCACAGACTGATCAGCTAATCTATAAGCCTTCTTGGACCTCTGTTTTCCTGCAATAAAACATGTATATTTTAATTCAGGAGGATGTATTTACTGTAGAACCCATCCTGCTCACTTTTGTCCCACTGACTATTGTGCTGCCACAATGGTGCATATAATATGACAGTTCATAGTCATGGTTAATATTCTTACAAATGAGAATTTATATTGTTTATTTTCCTTAAGCCATTTTCTCATTGATATTGTATGGTTAATACATGTGCTGCCATCTAGTGTTCATTTTAGTTATTGTACTTGGTCATTGCACATGTTTTCTGTGTTCCCTCCCACCTATGATGTATTTCCCCTTCTTGCTCAGTGTGGAGTGTCATGGCTGCTTCTAACAGGACCACATGTTAATCTGCATTGCATGCTTGGAAACATTATCCTGTTTGACCGCCTTAAATACCATCAATTCATTAATCTGCTGTATCCTGTTGTCTGCTGCACGGAATAATTTGTGGATGGAAAGGGTATTTTATGAGTTCAGCTATCTGATAAGGATTGTCCGCAGTGATTATATCTGCTTATACAAGCCAGGCATAGAGGTCTCAGCAAGGGATAGATCGCTAATACAACAATCGGAGTCAGAATAGTTATTGTGACTATTGTTTTCCACAAACAGGTTCTGGACCAGGCAAGTATTTAGGGTTTAGTCACTCTAAGGGCCAAATGAAGTCTCTCACCTTTTTATTTGTATTTACAGTCCTGTACCTGCACAAGTTATAATGTCTAACCAAGCTTTGCTTAGAAATGCTTTGAAATACCTTCCTCTTAGTGGAATTTCACTTTTTGCACTCCCACTCCAGTGCTCTATGCCTGCACTGCTGAGTAACAGCCACACCCCTTAGTACAAGTGTATTCACTCAGACCTGTAATACGTAGGAGGAGTAGAAAAGTGTCTGACCAAGTCTGTTGGATTACACAGTGCGCTGGGCAGTGTATTCAAACTCCAGTACCTACTGGACTGCACAGTCACATTTAGACACCATATACAACTTCAAAGTGAAGCCTAGACCACAAAAAAAGATGGTGGCTGTTACTATCTAACGGAATATCTTTTTCAGTGACTTCAGTTGGGCTTTAAGAGTGATATAAACAATTTAGATTGATAAAGACTACAGTACAGGTATGGTTCTATACATCAGACCTAAAATAAAAATTGCACAGGAAAGGGGGGCAGAGGAATGTGGGTCCAATAAACTTTGAAGCCGTGAGCTTCCTGAATGTCAATCTATGAGAAGGAACAGGGCTCAGACGCCCATCTGGAATACATAAAGGCACGGCTGTACATTAGAGAATGTAGTTGTTATTTATTTTATAAATATTTTACAGCTCCGGTACACTCCATCCGGTGAGACGTTGCACAAAACAAGTTGGTTTTAGCCTCTCGCCTCTAACTGCATCCTTAACCGTAATACCAGGGGAATGGCCCTGGGTAAATACTGCAATTTAACAATCGATAAATGAAAAATAAAAAGGAGAAGCCGGGAGGAAATCACAGACCAAAACATCCAGGAGCTGTTTACGTCTTTCATAGAGAACAGTAAACTTTTTAAAGCCGAACTGCAGCCTTCCTTTCCGTCCTGCACAGTTGTACAGGCTCCTCTCCTGGACTGAAGATGAAGAAGTAGTTGTTTGTTTCTATCATCACCCATCAGATAAATAAGTACCATGTCCATGACTGCATGTTGGGAAATAAAAGTAGAAGGAAGGACAATTATAAAAGGGAATTAATGGGAATCCTCAGATTGTTATTTCTGTCTGGAGTTACTTTTGAATGTAAATAATCTTATCAATGAGTACTGATGCCTTGAAAACCTTCTTTCTTTACAAAGTTTCTAATTACTTTCATAAATAGGAGCAGCCATATTTGTTCTTTACATGATGGCTCTCCTTCTTCCTTCATAGTGCTGTACAATGATTGTGCATTAGAGATTCCTTTGTGTCAACTTAAGTCTACCATCATAGTCTGTCTGTCTGACTGAAAACAATAGACTCTCTACAGTTCTGGTGCTTGGTCCAGTTCTGAGAAGTTCACCTCTATAACTGAGGAATATGGACATAAGTACCAAAACCACATTTGCCCACATTCAGATTTTGGAGGAAAATGTACTTAGATAATGGGGGTCATTCGGATTTTAGAGGACGGTTAACTAACATTATGGTGTTTATTAAAATTTTAGCTTAGGATTCATTCACATCACGGTGGCCATTCGGATTTTAGAGGAAGATCCACTGACATTATGGTGGTCATTCAGATTTTAGCAGAAGATTCACTCACATTATGGTGGTCTTTTAGATTTTAGAGGAAGATTCACTCACGTCATAGTGGTCATTCAGTGTTCAGTGGAAGATTCACTCATATTATGGTGGTCATTAGGGTTTTAGCAGAAGATTCACTCACAACATAGTGGTGTTTTGGATTTTAGCAGAAGATTCACTCACATTATGGTGGTCTTTTAGATTTTGATGGAAGATTCACTCACATCATAGTGGTCATTCAGATTTCAGTGGGAGATTCACTCATATTATGGTGGTTTCAGATTTTAGAGGTCCACTTGTATCTGTATCTGTCTCTATGTGCAGTCTGCCCTAAGCAGCCAAGTGCTGTTGTGTAAAGTGTATGTAAACCCTAATTAACTTTTGATCTGTTAATATATCATTGAAAGCTTTTTGTTTGCTCTGTGTTAGACAAAAGTGCAACACAAAAACTGTTGATCCTATCAAAAATCCAGACCTGTCCTGTGCAGACTTCTGTGTTTTTTTAAATAGTCTATTTCACTCATCTAACTCTTAACTGACACAACAGGATGAGTAGCCTTTATACTGTATAGATCTGAGAACAGGAGTGGTTTAGTAGTTCAGCAAAAGACACTGGGCAGGGCTGACCCCACTCAGTCTGCAAACATGTCATGTGTTGTCAGCCTACAACAGGGCATTTCTGGCAGATGAACAGTTTTCTTCTGGACTTGCAGGTAGGGTTGCCACCTTTTCTTCAAGCGAAACCCGAACACTCCAGCGACGTGCGGACATTTTTGTGGGAGAATGAGTTGTGGCCTGTGCATAAGTAAAAAGTGCCACCCATTCATATGTAAATATCACAGTAGAGACTATTTTTAGTGGGGGGCCAGTAGCCCCTATATTAATTTTGGTTGCCCCTGTCTGCCTGACATCATGTGTCCGGGTTTCTGCTGCCATGAAACCCGAACACAGCATTCAAAACCCGAACTGTCCGGGTGAATCCTGTACAGGTGGCAACCCTACTTGCAGGGTCTTTAAAGGGATAAACATGGGGCAATGTGGATGTATCACAGAGATGTGCTGCATATTTTATTTTTCCTTGATGCACATGTTAATAAACTGTGATCTCCCTCTTTCCAGGCCAAGAGATGCAGTTAAGGCTTTCAAGAAAAGAATTGCCAAGAACTACAACCAGAAGGAAGTCAATTTCGGCCTTTCTGTAAGTAAATAAGATCTCTCCAACAGAATGTCCAGTTACACCAAACTGCTACTGGCACTGCAAAGCCAGTTGATGACATCACACCCACTTATTCCCTTTATACAGCACAACATATAGATCACCAGGAAATCTGGATAGAAAAAGGCAACACCTTTGTTATGAACCATATATGAGACCATATTCCTGCAAGAAAATAAGAAGCAGGAAGGTGATTGAGTCCATTGCCTTCCATCTAATAGTAAAATGTTAGCTTTTGTTGGGTTGACGTCTAAATCAAAAGGACAAAACAGTTTAGGGTTTCTACAAACAATACATACAAAACAATATGCATAATAAACAATATGTAAATATATATATATATATTTGAATGTTTCTCTAGTCTAGTCTTGGAGCTGGAAAAGTATCTGTACTTGTACTTGTACCAACCTGGTATCTGAACATCCCTAATACATATATATATATGCGAACACAGAATTGGCAACACAACGATAGTTCTGGCACCAGAAAAAAACAAGACACTAGATCCTCACCCAATCTGGCCAAAACATGTCTACTGTCTACCAAAAATGTTGCTTGGGTCCATAAAGACCCGGGGCTCCTTGGCCACCTAGACTGAAAGGTGGCATGTTAATCAGAAACCAGCAATTCATTACCATGCCAAGTGCTGTAATTCACTACATTATCTACCTAACAGAACTATTGGGTAAAACTAAGGGAGTTACCACTGGAGATTTGAATGGATGCACCAGATTAAGAAAAAACTCACAACCAAAGTTCAGCAAAGATCAAAATATATTTGTCAACAAGGTCAACAGGATCATTCTTGGGATGGCAGCAACAATTACTGCAAAGGAAACCAAGCAGAAGACACAGGGGCACGTGCCCTGGGTGCCAGAATCCAGCAGTGCCCCTGCTATCTGTGCATCACTAGCAAAGAACAAACTAATCTCAAAACTCTTTGTACTAGTCCTAAATCAGTTTAACTCATCTATAAAATGTGTTTTCTAAAGTATATACAGTATGTACACGTTTACATAGAAGTATATGTATATGTTGGTCTATTTCGGTCTGTCTACAATTGTTCCATTTGAGTCTGCTTTATGTTATATTAGAGCTTTACAGGTGGCCATACCAAGAACTCATCCACGCAAGATATAGCATGAGGTCATTCATTTCAAACCAGCATGTCAAGGCACATGCTGCACATTACCATGCTGGATGTCTGACAAGTCTTTAACAGAAGCAGGCAGAAAGAAGTATTTGAAAGAACACAATTGGGCCTAAAGGGCAACATTAGTTTTATAAGAAAACTCTTCGTACTGAACC